CAGGGTGAATGGGTCCCTGTACCGCCTCCCATTGCTCCCACTACTGCATCGTGCCACTTTCACGGTTCCTCCCACTCCTGCTGGTTTCCCATTTTGTCATAGGTTTGCGGGCAGATTACAGGGCCTCCCATAGGTGCTTGCCTGGCCCCTAAATCTGCCATGGGCCCCCGGACCGCCTGGTCACGCTGCTGCTGGGTCCACAGTGTGACAAGGGTCCACTGTACCGCCTCCCATTGCACCCACTCTGCCATGTGCCACTTTCAGGTCTCCTCACACTCCTGCTGGTTTCCATTTTGTCATAGGTTGCTGTATGGCCTCCCATTGCTGCTGCCTCCACCGCCACACTGTGGCTCCAAACACTGGGTTTTGGCCCCGTGACTGGCCAAATGAGTGCAGTGTGCGGTGATTCTAAAGATCGACGGGGCACTCATCTGCATGTCATCAACTGACTGACAGTATTATTTCTCTTCCCCAGCAGACTCCAAGGGCATTTCACAGCATATATATTCGACTCGAATCGAATATTGTCCACGAATTCGCCGAATCAGTCGAATCGAATTTTTGAATACTTCGCTCATCTCTAGTGGCCAAACTACAGCAGAGCAATGTGTAAAAAGCATACAAAACAAGAAGTGCAGCACAACAAAAAAAATTATATATACTGTATATATACGTATCTATCTATCTATCTATCAATCTAGACTTGATTTTATGAAAACCAATCACCAAATGTGCAATCATCATTGTCTGCTACTATCACAAATAGTTTTTGTACCTCCCACAGCTTACATGCAGTGCACCAATGAGAAGCCTTCGCTGTCTTTTTCTCACAAGAGAACATGTACCACTGACAGAAGAGTGCTGTCCACCACTGCAGATAGAGCAGACCGCTAACCACACCTACGCCCAGAAAGCCACGTGATGACATTATCAGCTGGCAGGACATGGGCGGATTGCCTACAGAGCTTCCTGAGTGCCGGTGACATCTGTATGCGCTATTTACTCAACGCACTGGCACCGCTGTAAAGAAAATGCAGTACTGGTGGTGTGAACAATCTATTTGGCATGGATTGGGGAATTTTTGTCAATTTTCCTGCGGCACCCTGGTTGAGAAACGCTGGTCTAGGGTACCTCCCAACACACAATTCTGCACTAGGGTCACTAAAGATGTTATATAGTCAGGAAACTGTCTATCACATTTTGAGAGACCCTTAAATCAAAGGCTGGAGATGTTATTGTTCTAAAAAGTTAAGCTACAAAAAAAAAATAAAGGAAAAAAAGTTGTTGTTTTATTGGGTGTTATATGTTATATCATTACTGTGTGTTATTGTTAACTGTTGTTGCTTGCTTTTCAGGAATGCCAATCAGCTGCAGCACCGATCGGTGTATTCTTTTTTTTTTATTATTATTATAAATATTTTATTGATTTTCAATATTATTATTATTATACAGGATTTATATAGCGCCAATAGTTTGCTCTGCGCTTTACAATATAACGGGAGACAACACAGCAACAATACAGTTCAATACAAGAGGGAAAGGAGGGCCCTGCTCCTTGGAGCTTACAATCTAGGAGATATATCACATTACACCATTAAAATTCAAAAATATTCGACATAGAGGGCGCATGCGCGGCCGGCTTTGATGGACGCTCTGATCTGAGAGCTCCGTCCACCCGCCAGCACTAACCTGGCACACACCGGCCCAGGGAGACAACAACCCCACAGTGTCATCCCTGAAGCGTGCCCGCACCTCTCCAGGCATGCCCCGCCGACGGAAAACCCTGGAACAGCCGGGTAAACTCACTAATTTCTTCCCGGCTGTCATGCCGGGAATCCAAGATGGCGCCGGCAGCAGCGTCCAGGGAGGCAGCAGGAGGCCTGAAGGGGACCACAATGACCAGCAAACAGATGCCAGGCTGCGGCGGCACTCGCTTTATCCAGGGGACCCTGGTGAGTTGTCACCCCCACTGTCCCCCACAACTAGTAGCCCAGCCAAGTCTCGGCCACGACTAGACCATGACTTTGAACCCTCACTTTAGGCCCTAAACCTTCCGCCTATGCCACCCCACGCAGTATTGCCCGACATCGATTCGTTCCCAGTGTCAGATCAACCGCTGACGGAAATCTCTATGAAGGGTATGCTGACATCACTGCGCCAAACATTATATAATGATATCTCCACATCGCTGAGTCAAATTACTGCTGCGGTACAGCGACAGGAAAGCAGAATTCGCCATATTGAAAGTAACATGGGTGACGTAATAATAGCACACAATGATTTGATTGATGCTCACTCTGACCACACATCTGACATCGAACAAATTAACCTAAAATTGGCTGACCTGGAAGATCGATCAAGACGCAACAACATTAAATTTAGAGGGATCCCTGAATCAGTCACTAATGAGACACTATTACCCTACTTACAGCAATATATCAAATTCCTTATCCCATCAATTCCTGACCTGGAGCTAGCAATTGATCGTGCTCACCGATTGCCAAAACCAACATTTTTGTCAGCATCTATTCCAAGAGATGTATTAGCCCGTATACATTTCTACCATGCTAAAGAAAGAATCATGATGGCTGCCAGGAATCCACCCCCGGTCCCGCCATCACATGCTAATCTCCGACTATACGCGGATTTATCTAAAGCCACACTCCTCAATAGGAAAAAAATGATTTCCATAACCAAAGCTCTGAGAAACCACGGTATATCATACCAATGGGGTTTCCCCCCAAAGCTCACAATACGGCACCTTGGCAGAATTTTTACGGTAAAAACCCTGGAAGCAGGCCTGGACCTACTTAAAGCCTGGAATATCCTTCCGGCGGATGCACAGGGAACTGCATCTGCCTCCATTCAACATATGGAGGCATCATAAGCAGGAAGCGGCACACTTTCTCCTTAAAACAAACGTACTCTTCTCCCTAGAGGCTTTTTTTTTTTCAACATACCATTTTCTAGCGATCGGCCAAAACTCGATGTTACCTGTTTAACATTTTTCTAATTGGCATGACCCCTTCGGTGGTCAAAGCCTGTTCTCACCCCCCAGTTCCCAAGTAGCAATGGATACTACTTGGTCTACTTGCATTTCTTGCAAGTGTTTTTTTTACTGTTTTTTGTATCCTTACCTTCCCCCAGTTGAGGCACCATCAGACACGCAGCTACAACCCCAGCTATGAATACCCCGCACATGTCTGGAAAGCTCACCCTAATTCTCCAATCGAGCCTAACTCAATCTACAATAGCTTCACCGCACTCTCTCTCATAGAAATATCTGTTAACCTACGATCCCTTCAAATAACGCTCCGACTAATTGTGAACTCAGAGAAAATCTCAATGATTATCACATCTCTCAACGTACGAGGCCTAAACTCACCGTTCAAGAGATCGATGCTAGCCAAAGAAGCCTGGAAATCCCAAGCCGACATACTCTTCATACAAGAATCCCACTTCGCTACGGGAAAAACTCCCAAATTATTTCTTCACCGCTTCACCCAAATATTTTTGGCAACCAACATCATAAAGAAGAATGGAGTTCTTACTGCCATTAACGACTCTGTTTCATGCCGCATCATTTCGCAAACAGCCGATCCACAAGGGCGCTACCACATACTTGTATGCCAGCTTAATGACATAACCTACACCTTAGTGAACGTCTACGGCCCAAACTGCAAGCAGATGCGCTTCTATCATAAGCTCCACAAAGTCGTTGCCCGCCATAAACAAGGCAGACTTATTATTGGTGGTGACTTTAACATCCTGAACAACCCACATCTAGACTCATCCTCCAGCCAAAGCCCCGCCAAACTCAACTTTAATCAATTTCTGCATAACCATGACCTGTATGACATCTGGAGATGTCATCACGGTACTGAAAGAGACTACACATACTATTCCCCGCCTCATCTGTCATACTCTAGAATCGATTTTTTTTGTGACTGATAAATGGACCCTACAACACGTAACGTCGTCCAAAATCGGGACTATAACTTGGTCTGATCACGCTCCAATCAACATATCCTTGGACAGCAATCAACGCTCGGCAATCCCACCCATATGGAGACTAAACTCGCACAATTCTGAAGAATCCAGAGAACCAGAAACATTTGCTAGAAGCCCATAATCTCTTTTTTGACATAAATTCCACCCCTGATATCTCTATCACTACACTCTGGTCAACATACAAAGCTTACATGAGAGGTATCCTCATACAGCTGAATTCCCGTATTAACAGACAAAGATCCCAACAAATTGACCAACTACTAAACTCCATTCAATCGAATGAAGAGATCAACAAAAAGAACCCAACTCCCTCCACTGCGACGGCCCTAAACCGGGACAGAAACAAATTACGCACCATCTTACTCCATTACTACTATATTAACCTTCAAAAAACGAAATCCAAATTTTATGCTCTTGGCAACAAGGCAAACTCTCTTTTAAACAAAACCATTAAGCAAAAACGCCTTAAGACCAAAATCTCCACAGTCCAGCACCCCACCACACACACCCTGCTAACAAACCCACAGGATATAGCCAATGCTTTTGCCTCATATTACCAAACACTATATAACATAAAAGACGACCCAATTACGACCCAACCAACAAAATTGTCCATTGAACATTTTTTATCCAGCATCGACCTACCCCAAATTACTCAGTCCCAACTTGAATCTATTTCTGAGCCGATCTCTCCCAAAGAAATTGAAAAAATCATAAAAACCCTCCCCTTAAACAAATCACCAGGCAATGACGGCTTCACAAATGAATTTTACAAAACTTTCACACTCAACCTTACACCACATCTCTCTGCCCTATATAATCAGGTTGCCTCTAAAGGGGAATTTCCCCCCGATATGCTCCAGTCAATAATAACTACTATCCCGAAGCCGGGCAAAGATCCCCAATTAGTCCTAAATTATAGAACGATTACACTTCTCAATAAGGACATAAAAATATATGCTAAAATAATCGCTCAACGATTGCTTCCTCTTTTACCTAAACTGATCCACCCAGATCAGGTGGGGTTTATACCGGGCAGACAAGCACACACGCTACCAGGCGAATTATATCCCTTCTCCACCACCTCGAGTCTAATAAACAACCTTCCCTTCTCCTATCATTAGATGTGGAAAAAGCATTTGACAGAATCCATTGGCAATTTATGACACTTACACTCCAAAAATTTGGAATAACAGATTGGATGCTATCGGCAATTCTATCCCTATATTCAAATCCTTCTGCCAGAGTCCTAACCAACGGTACTCTCTCACAACCCTTTTCTATATCTAACGGAACCAGACAAGGTTGTCCACTTTCCCCTATAATTTTTGCCCTACTTATTGAACCGTTAGCATCTAACCTTAGAAATGACCCAAACTTCACGGGTTTCACCTATCTACATAAGGAACATAAAATTAGTCTGTTTGCGGATGACATTATCCTAATGGTCACAAATCCCTATAAGTCGCTTCAGTCAATACGCA